GGGGGGGGGGGGGAGTTCGGAGCTGTCGGCTAGGTTGAGGTGGTGGGGTGGTGCCCAGCGTACGGAGCGGAGGTGTCCGTCGCCCTGCCCCGCCTCGCCGGGCAGGGTCCTGCCCCTCTTCCCTCTGGGGGTGCAGCCGGCCCGGCCCCGGCCTGCCCTCCGGGTCCCCGGCCGTCCTCAAGCGATCGGGCGAGCGCGACCCACGCTGGGATTCCCGCGCTGGTGGCGAGCCGTGGGCAGCTCAGTGGGCGGCACACCCGAAGGACGCGGCCGTGGAGAGGGCGAGGTGGGGACCGGGCGTCTTCCCGCCGCTCAACGCAGCCTGCGGGCGGTGACTTTCCATCCCAGCCTCAGACAGACGCCCTCGAGTTGACTGAACATCCCTCCTTCCCAGCCCGGGGGTGGGGTGCGGGGAGGGCGTGAAACTCCACAGCGGCTTCTCCGCAGTGGGTGAGCTGCCCCCGGGCTCCACCTGGCAGCCAAGCCGGGGAGAACGAACCCAGTTCCCTCGTCAAGAAATTTCCATTTAAGTCTCAGGAAGTCAGAAAAGTGCCCAAGTCTCAGGGGCTGGGAGAAGGATCCTAGAAGATGAGGTGTCCAGGGCGCACCCCCAGGCCTCAGATGCTGACACTGACTTGATTATAGAGATGGGGTGCGGGAACCAACTGCCTGGGGTTCCCACTGGGGTGCAGGTCTAGCACCCTGCCACCCCCATCTGGGCTCAGTTCCCTTGGCGGAAGGCGAGGCCACAGTGCCGCTGGCTTTCAAAGATACTTCCCCCCCCCCAATAAAATTAAATTGGAATTTTAAACAAAAATGGTTAAGTCCAAACTTTAAGCAGTTCAAGCTCACATCCAGCGTGGGGAAATTGAGAAGAAGCCAGGCTTGGACACTTCTTCCAAGGGAGTAGCTTTCCTCCCAAATAGGAAAGAAAACAATGACAAGTTACAAGCAGCAAGGTGCGCATTCCCACCGCCCCAACCCACAGCGCACACGGGCACCACGCCTGCCGGCAGCTGCTGTGGGCTCCCCTTAAATGCTTTATTTTTTTTCTTTTTTAAGTTCTTATCTATTATAGGTGGGAGCCCTGGGGCCTGCTCCTGAGACCCACAGGCCTCTCCTCTGGACAGGAGACTGTGGCTGGCAGTGGTGCCACGTGACTGCGAGCCAAGTGCCAGCACCCAGAGTCACTCTTGCTTTCCCCTAATACACTTCACACCCACGCGCTGTGGAGGTGCGAGAGCGATTGCTCCGTGCCCGCTCTTCCAGGCAGATGCAAAGAAGAGTGTGGGGATATGCCATCCTCCAATCCTCGAGCTGCACAGGGGACCCCGGCTGAAGGCGGGGGAGGGGGAGTTTGTTATTTGCTATATTTAGACTCCCCACGGAGTTTCTGTGCAGGGACTTTCGGGGTGAAAGATGCAGAGACTGCTGTGCACACGCTTTCAACTGGAGAAACTTGGCTCTTCTGAAGGCAGTGAAATGAACGCCACTTCCTCCTAAGGAAGGAGGAAGACGTGTAGACTTCCACCACAGAGGTCAGTCAGGTCATTTCCTCTGCATGCACCTGGGGACCCCCACCTCCCAAGCAGCCAGCAAGCAGGAAGTCTCCAGAAAGCTAGGCACAGGCACGTGTTTCTTTGGAGAGCTGCCAGCTACTTCATTTCCCAAAGATGCTTTCCTGGGAGGAAGGAATACTACAGTGAAACTGTGATGTTCATTGAATGGATGCCAATAAACTTTGCCAGTACTGGGGCTTGAACTCAGGGACTCATCTCTCACCCGCAAGGCTGGTGCTCTACCACTTAAGTCTCACCTTCACTTAGGGCTTTTGTATGAGTGCATGTGTGCCTGTACTGGGGTTTGAACTCAGGGTCTGGGCACTGTTCTTTGGCTTTGGGGCTCAAGACTTAATGCACCATCACTTGAGCCACACCTTCACTTCTGGCTTTTCATCCTTCAGTTGGACACCAGGGTCCAACTAGTAGCTAGGATTATGGATAGGAGCCACCTGGAGCTAAGAATCTCTAGGGCTTTACTGCCTGACAGAACTTCAAGCTGTGATTCTCCAGTCTCACCCTTCTTGAGAAGCTAAGATTATAGACATGAGCCCTCAGTACCTGGCTTCCCATAAACTTTAAAAATAAAATGAGATGTGATGGTTAGTAGGGCTTTAGATCTGGGAAGGACCCTTGAAATGCACCTTCCAGAATAACGGGCATTTGGAAATAAACGTCCAAAAAACAGTACCGACTGATATATCAACTAGTAATTCATGTAAGGATTACTAGGAATCCAGCCATCTCGAATCCCAATCCACTCTTTCTTCCTTCGGATCATTGATACTAATGACATCCAAGAGCAAATGGACAATAAAAGCTTTCAATTGCTAGGAAAACCAGGTATAAGTTGCAAATTGTATTCACTGTCCCTTTAATTCACAGGAGGAAAAGCTAAGGAGATGCATACTTGCTACCTACCTAACTTCACTGCACAGACAGGAATCAACTTTGGGGAAAATAAAATGTTTGTGATTAAGCTTTTATTGTTGTTGTTCCCTTGAATATAGATGTTGCTAGGAAACTGCCTTTTCTTTTTTTTGCTGAAGTATCAGAAAAGAAAGTAAACATAATGAGCCATGACTAAAACAATATTGTGTATATATCATGCATAATGATTGCATTAGACCTATGAAGATGTAGAGGTAAAGGTAAATGACAGATATACTTTTCAAAGGCAAATGTTTATTGTAGTATGTGCATGTTGATTGGCCTTTGAAACATATTGGCTTTCAACCATTTCTTTTCTGCCTGAAATTTATGACCTTCAAAGCTTATTTTCTGAAGTCCATATGGAGGTGGACTCAGTTGAACATAGTTACAAGAAATATTTTATTTCTGTGTCTTCTCTCTCCCATTATATTTTTCTTCTGAAAGGAGAATCTGGAATAATGATACTGAAATTTCTAGTCTGGGTATAGTTGCCCATGGTTATAATACTAGCCATTTGGGGGGATTGTTCTTTTTAGTTTGAAGTCACTTCAGGCAAAAAGTTTAAAAGACCTCATCTCAATCAATAAAAGTCTGGACATGGTGGCTTGCACCAGCTATGAGGGAAGCATAAATAGGAGAACAGTTCACACTGACATGGGTATAAATAAAAATATCTACTTTAAAAGTAAGTAAAGCAAAAAGAACTGAAGGCATACTCGAGTAGAGTGCCTGCCCAGCAAGTGTAAGGTCCTGAGTAAACTCCAATGCTTCCAGAAGAATGAGAATGAAAAGAAAGAGGAAGAGGAGGAGGAGCAGGAGGAGGAGGAGGAGAACTTAAAGAAATCCTTCTATGAGCAAGAGATAACAAGAAAGACTTCTAGAGCCTACAAAGGCAGAAAAACTAGATTTTTGGCTGCTTTCAAAAAATATCAGCCAGAGCCTACAAAGAAGGCAGAATAACTAGATTTTTGACTGCTTTCAAAAAATGTCAGTGAGCCATTACTGTTGTTTTTTTTCTTATCTCCATACCAGCCTATTTTCCCATTTGCTACAACTCTTCTGCAACACACAAGTTCATCAGTTCCAACTCATGGTTCCCATCAGTGTGTGAGTGTGGAATAGTGGTGGTAAAGATGAAGGTCTCCAGTGCTGTGGCTGCACTTTGATTCCAAGTGAGATTCCTGGGCTAATCATAGCACTGATGATAAGACCGAATTCTTAACCATTGGAACAAATTTGAAATTTACTAATGGAAATCTGTGGTTGGTTGCTGCTTAGGGTCTTACATAAAGCCCAGCAATTTGGCATGTAGGCTTGGAAAAATCACTGAAATCTCCAACTCCTAAATAAAGTGATCTTTCAGCTGTATCCCTCCTACAAATCACCTTTATTTCCTTCCTGTCAAGCCATAATCTAACCAATAAGCATAAAACTGGACTGAATTTCTTTTGTGTGTACAGGTAACTGGGGCTTGAAATTCAAGGCCCCTCTTTTTTTTTTTTTTGTCGGTCGTGGGACTTGAACTCTGGGCCTGGGCACTGTCCCTCAGCTCTTCAGCTCAAGGCAAGCGCTCTACCACTTGAGCTACAGCACCACTTCTGGTTTTCTGGTGGTTTATTGGAGACAGGAGTCTCACGGTCTCTCTTGCCCGGGCTGGCTTTGGACTGCGATCCTCAGATCTCAGCCTCCTGAGTAGCTAGGATTACAGGCATGAGCCACCAGCGCTCT